TTAGTCCAGAAATTTACAGCCAGGGATAATGCAATTAAAGACCTGCAACTTTTTTATAGAATAAGTGTGACAAACGAGCACACAGTCCACCTGATGGTAAGTGGATGCTGTATTATATAGATATATGTATATTTATCCTTGATTAAGATTAAAAATGCAGATGCGTTGTCATCCTTGAGTTTTCAGTAAAAAGGATTTCCCGTTCTCTACACTCACCATATATAACACGGTAGCATTAAACTGCTATTTTACGCTGGTATTTTGTAAGAGCGTGGTCCTATCCTGGTCGAACCGACAAGTTCGCACTACAACAATAATATAGTTGCAGTGTGTCTCTACTACGCATAACTTGTGGGATACTAAAGCTCAAACGACATAAATATTATACACTTATTAAATGAATTAGATCTATTAAAATATAATCATCAATATATTATCAGTGTCTACGACGTTGCCTACGTTGCCTTTCGTAGACGTCGATTATAACTTAATCGAGTTACGATTTATAGAAATAATCGGTCATTGATTTATTCGATACCCATCGACACGCGACTCTATTGTATTTTAAATTCTAAGTGTTGATACGTAAGGAGTATATTTTAAGAAGTGGTTATTATATATGAATACAAATTGTTGCGGGGTATCAAAGGGCCGAGGTCCGTTTGATATCCAGCTTTGAATAAATCAACAAAAACGGCGGGCGGCAATGAGTAATGCCCGAATGTAAGTAGGCATTTCGAACAGAAAATACTATAGAGTGTTCTTGATGTATATTTTTTCGTAATCTCTTTGTAAATATTATGTATACATTTTTAATTAGTTATAAGTTACTGTTTACATTGTAGTGGCGGTGTAAGAATGTCTACTACCCCATATCATCCCATGGGTGTCGTAAGAGTTGACAGTGGAAAATAAACAGGAGATGGGCACCAGCATTTTCGCAATAACAACTCAAAAACCTACGGTTGTCAAGCGAGGCAACTACGTCAAATATCCTCCCTATGAAGCAACCTATTAGGGGGAAGCTATGTTCAACAGTGGACCTTAATAGTTCGCAATGGTTAAGGTAATAAGGCTTTGTTTCCTATTACGAAACCCATTTCACTGTTTCAAAGGGATCCCACCTTAGTCCTCGATGGTGATAATGCATCTGCAATTTGGATTCTTAATTCAAGGAAGATTATAGCTGTATATGGGCCAAATCATCCTCTTACTATTGGAAAATCACTGCTATCTATTTTAAATATAAAGGTCCAATAACTAATAATTTTCTATCTTTAATAATAGTTATCCGTAATTTTCAAATTTTTGAGTCCGATGAAGCTAGCTGTAAGAGCCAAAAGGCTAACAGCAGCATCAGAAACCAGAAAAAAGAACATTTTTGTGATGTATCAATTATATTGGTACGTTCTACGGTTACAGAAACTATTTAAATTTCATCCTAGATTTCAACTCAAGGCAAAACCTAGGAGTCGGATACGCTAATAAGCCATGACGTCTTGAATATTTTATACAGATAACTCTATAATATTTACCGACTCCATTCCATTATTTGGTCTGCCTTACTAATTTAAAGTAACCTATACAGGCAAGATGTGAAACACAAATTAACTAAAACAAATACATTATTTGTATGCTTTACTTGTAATTTAATGTTAACAAATGATAATCGAAATGGATTACATTAGAATCATAGCTGTGTTTGTAGAGAATTGCCTTACGGTCTTTAACTTAATTTATTTTTAATTTACTGAAAGGCGTTCTTTAATATTTGATTTTAACTAACTGACTGATGCAGTAAGTGTAATAGGTTAATTAAACCTTTTCCGTCACCTTATTACACCATGATTGTGGTGTAATCGAGTATGAAATAATTTCTTATGTTTACGCGCACACTCTGTACGACGTTCCAATGTTGACATTTTGACAATGTTGACATTGACAATGGTCGCTGTAAAGTTCTAGAAACGTCGTGAATATAAAATAAGTTAGTATTATTTTATTTATTATTATTAGTTAATCGAGTATGTGTATAATACAATGACACAATCGTACATAAGCTGCACTAAAAGTATCGGGAATTGAATATTTCCACTGTTCCTGTCATATTAAAATATTTTTAATTGAAAACTCCTTGGTTTTAAAAATTGAATACCATTTATTTATTTAAAAAAAGATTCTCGGTCTTGTCACAAGGTTTTGTCAAACTTGTTTAGTCGTTGAGAAAATGGAATTGTCGTTGAGAATTGGATATTGCGTTACTCTGGTAGGATCGTCGTTGTATTCTTAGAGTAGCCTAATACTTCTATGGTTGCATTCATTTTAACGTTGAAATATTATTTAGTAGTAATGTGTGAACACATTAGTATCGATTATAAGACTATGATTGATTTAAGATTACAAAATCAATCATCAAAATTATCATAATAAAAAATTTCCTCGAGCCTGAATTTCGATTACGTCGACCAGTCTCAACAAAAACTTGCCATCTGCGTAGAACAACATTATATTATACAAGTGTGTACAAGTGCATTCTCTATTCCATCACTGTCATTTTCATCAGGTGCAGAACAAGGGGCTTTACGTTATTTCCGAGGTACGGGGTGAACTACTGCTAACTTCTTTAACTATTAATAGACCAACATAGCAGTCGAACTCGCATAAAACAACACGCCGCAGTTGCGGCGTGATATCCATCAGCAAACGATTTTCACCAGAGTTCCAAATCTCACCACTGGTCATAGTATAACTCAAATCCAGATCATTCATATGCCTAAGAGGTTGCAGCGACATTACGAACAGTAGCCCGAGCTTGTCTAACGAGCTCACAGTCACGCAAGTCGACTTGTTTGCATAACTTACGGATAAAGGGTGAGCTTGTCGCTTATTATACTCGGCTTTTTTCGGCTCAGTGCTTGCTTTTTATTTTGAAGCAAACTGGGCTTGATAATGTCTAGACGTGAGTCTAGTTTAGCGTGAACGACTCCGATAAAGTTAACGGCATGTTCGGCGTGGTTTCTTTAGTCCCGTAATATAATACTTTGTTAATGTTTAAATTTTAACATGTTTGGCGTACCTACTGTATTTTATAAGCAATAAAAAATAATATTAATATTATAAATATAAGATAAACTTAGAAATGAAGATATCGCTGTAGAACCAGAGTGACTGACATAGGCTAACGGATTAGTAAGCTGAAGTGGCGAAGAACCGACAACCAATGGGGAAAAAAGGTTCTCAAGTGCTCGTATCGGTAGACGAAGTGTAGGGCGTCCCCACACTAGAAGGAGTGACGATCTGGTAAAACATGCAGGAAGTCGATGGATGCAGGTGGCTCAGAGCCGTGCTTTGTGGCATTCCTTGGGGGAGGCCTATGCTCAGTAATGGGCTTGTGAAGGACTGTAATGGTGATGATGATGAAGATATTTCGTTATTAAAAAGGTAATTGAAATCACATTGTTTTCCAAAATATATAATTTCAGAAAGTTTTCTCCTATGTATCTTGAAAGAATACGTACACAATTTTTAACGAAGTTTGTACTCGTAATTATTAACCGATTAGAAATTAAAATTAAAATTTTAATAAAAACTTAAAACCGATCCCAAGGAACTAAAAATAATAAAATAATTTCTACATAATAATTTCTGAATTCAGGGCTCTCATTCTACTATATATTAATTTATAACACCGATCGTAAGAAGCTGTTTTGAGAAATTTTATTCTTGACCTTTAGTAAAACCTTTTTAGTGGACTTGAATATCATAATCTCAAGATAACAGCTAGATTGTCGTCTAAACACTTAGTTTCTATTTATTACAAAAACTTCACTCCCTATTTTTTCATTGAATGATGAATGATTTCCATGAAAGATGGAATTATTTCTCCATATTTATATGGCACTATTCCTGAAGTATATTTCATGTATTGTATAAATCAGTTTTTGGATTTTTCAATCACGAATTTTTTAGTAGCGCCTCGGAATCAGGAAGGTACGAGTATTTTACCTCCGTGCTCGAAAAACACTTATTTTATTAGATACATAAGAAAGACGTATTTGAAACAACTGCCGGATATATCTGACCATCGCAATTGTATAGCTGTTCTCGCGTCTTCAGTCCGGTAGATTAGGTTTGGTATTACACTGCCTTTTTTGATGTGATAGAACCACGTTTCAGCTACATTATGTTTACTGTAATACCTAGTAACCAGTAAAAATGATCTCCGGTTTTCTAACCTCATCGTACAAAACACAGCGGAATTAGTCTGCTATTATATGCTCGTATTGTTATTGTGAGAGGGTGATCTTTCGCCGGTCGAACCGACCCATTTGTGCTACAAGCATACTAATAATATAGATGCAACATGGCTCTACCACGTATAAAGGCGAGCCGTATGCCCGTTTGCCCCCTTATGTATAAACAAAGGTTACGAGTACCATCAGTTGGATTGTGTGCTAGTATATCACCTTATTCCTTATCAAAATCTACACCGGATTTGCAAACAAGACCTTCTCAGAGAAGAACCGGCAAAAAGCTCGAGGATCTTCCCTGAAACACTGTGTTACAATTTCTTTTATATTTAAAAAAATATCTTATGGTATTTATCTTTGCTAATTTGTATTACTTTACAATCCGTATAACATTCATGGTTACATTGATTCATTCATTACATAGGCTGTAATGAATTAATCAATTGTTTATATAGGCCCATGTTCAGCAGAAGTCCACTGTTGAACATAGGCCTCCCATAAGGAATGCCACAAAGCACGGTCCTGAGCCACCTGCATCCATAGATTTACTGCTCGTCTTACCAGGTCGTCACTCCATCTAGTGGGAGGACACCCTACACTTCGTCTAACGGTACGAGGCTGCCATTCGAGAACCTTACTTCGCAATCGGTTGTCGATTCTTCGAGCTTTATGGCCGAGCCATTGAAACTCCAGCTTACTAATCCCATAAATAAAATAGACCATTGATTAATTTTCTGTAATTTGTTCCAGCATCAAACCACCATCAAAGGACGGCGTCACCAAGAGCAACCCGAGCAAGCGTCATCGAGAGCGCCTCAACGCTGAGCTGGACACGCTGGCGTCGCTGCTGCCCTTCGAGCAGAACATTCTCAGCAAGCTGGACCGCCTCTCTATACTGCGACTGTCTGTCAGTTACTTGCGCACCAAAAGTTACTTCCAAGGTAAGTGCTTCATGGTTTCTACATTAAAATAGGTCAGTTATTTTATTTTTGTTGTATTACATTAATATAATCATTACTACGACGGGAGTGGTGCACAGCTAGCAGTGAAGTTACCTAGCTTACGAAAAACAAGAAGAAAATGAAGTCTGCTGGCGAGGCATTTCATCTCAGTGCGTCGCTTCATCTAGTGGGAGTCGCCCAACTGTGTGCTTGCTAGCACTAGGCTATGACTAAAGAAATCTTCTTTCCCACTTTTTCTTTTTGGATGATCAAAATATTTAAAAAATTCTTTCTTTTTTATTTCGTCGCCAGTTACAATCTTTGCCCGTTTCAATTGATAAATCGTCGAACTATATGGTTGGTCCATTGGCAATTATATTTACTAATCTGAAGACAAAGTAATAACATTCGATTTCAATGAGGTTATCCACTCGATAACTAATCTACTTAATTTTAAAGAATTTATTTTCTCATAAGAAACAACGTTTCACATAATATAATAAGAGACGTAGAGCCGTGGTAGCTCAGATGGTTAGCGCTCGCTGTAAGCTTCACAGTACTCGAGCAACCCGGGTTCGATCCCCACCGGCACCAATGAATTTGTTAATTGCAATTTTAAGTGCTGATTTACCACGTGCTCGGCGGTGAAGGAAAACATCGTGAGGAAACCTGCATGTCTGAGAAATAAGAAAAAAAATATATTTCGAAGATATGTGAAGTTCGCCAACACGCATTGGGGCAGCGCGGCGGACATTACCTTGCCCTAAAACCCTCTCAGAAATGAGAGGAGGCCTGTGCCCAGCCGTGGGATGTAAATAGGCTGCAACTTTACTTTACTAAGAGACATAGTAAATTATATATGAAAGAATTCAAGCATTGTCTTTGGTGCTTAATTTATAACTAATTAGTAGAAATAGTAGTGTGTAAACATGTTTTTAGGTTATTTTGAAATGTATTCACATTATCACATTCTTTAATGTAATTTGGCTGTTTATTGTATAGCTGCACTCCTTCGTATAAAATTGTTTTTCTTCCATAATTAGTTCGTTTATTAGCGAGCTCAAGTTTATGTTTGTTTCTTGGGTTGTGTTTATTTGTTTTTTTTTTGTAATTGTAAATTGGAGCGAATGGAATCTGTAGTGTCTGTACTTCCTATTGCTATACTATAAATGAAACTAATTTTGTATACGTTAAAACTGCCTTCGGATAAAATTTTGAAGCATCAGTATACTTACGAATTAAATTACAAATTATTCAAAGACAAATCTGAAGCCATTTCTCTCTGTCCTGGAAACTATTTAAGCTAATCATCATCTGATTAGTTATACGTTTATTTCGGCTGGAATACTGAATTTACGATTATTTATAGACTTATACCTCTATAACACTCCACTATACTTATTGACTGAACTCCATAAGATCTCGTTTGAAACGATTATGAGAGATGATTCTGAGAAATCGAAAAAAATAATTAAGTTATTAGACCAAAGGCTGATTTTTCAATCAAAATAATAAAACTTATTTAAAACATACAAAGGAAAAGAAAACAAATTAAAAATTACAGTTGTATGAATAAAATAGTTCAATAGTTTGACTTTTACATTCAGTTGGGTAATACTCGTAGTTTGTTGGATAACTATTATCTAAATATTGAAAAAATAAACTAAAATGTAATAATGCTTCATACCAATAATACGTACTTTAATTAAACAGTTTACGAACGCCGATCTGATTCATAAAATTCTGCTAATCTCGAACCAATTTACAGCGTACAGAACGAGATATCGAGTTTAGAATCGATACCGCATACCGATGTATTCGATTACTTATAAATGTGTTTCACGACACGTATTTAATGCTGTCAGGTAATTTTATTGCGTTCTACGCCACATATTAATAAATGCGCCAGCTCACGACGAGTTCTTGATTCTGTAGAACGTAATCGATATTATACGAATGTGATGTTTATGGGTGCTTAGATTGTATATCTTATAATATGTTATTATTATTTATACACTGTAACGTGAAAAAGTAAACCCTGCACTAGCAGTTTTTCCCTGTATGAACATGTATGTGAAAATGCCTTGGGGCATTTGTAGATCATACAAAACACTTGTTTCGTGCGGGACTCAAACCAATACCGTAAAACCGTTATCTATGTATTTTCTTAAATTAAATATTGTATTGAAACAGAACACATTTTACAAATATTGGAACGAAGTTCCTTATCGCACGGTAGAAATTTGGCGGATGGAGGCTAGGCGAAAAAAAGTCTAAGATTTTTCCGTCACGACCCCTTTCTATAGTGCGAGCGAAATGGAATAATATTCATCTCCCTCGCACTTTTTCTTATCTTGCCATGAAAGAAATATTATTTTAAATGACGCTTCATTTTTATAGGCGCTAGTAAATCATTTATTTGTATTTATTAATCAATAATATAATACGTTTATTAATAATAATTAACTACGAAAGAAACTTCATTCCAACCGTGTTCCATGACACTCACGCATGTTTTTTAACAAGTACACGGTTATATCTACAACAAGTTCAGTCGTAGCTTATATTAATAATTTATAATTTTAAAATATAATTAATAATTTAAAATAATATTACAAAGCAAATATCATTTAATTTCCAAAGTAGAAGATATTTGATTTTAAAATTATTTTAAATAATGATTTTATGTAATATGTAATCAGTTAAATTTACGCCTGTCGAACATACTTGTGGATCTTTCAAACTTCGAGCATGCCGACTTCTCTTGTCTGACGATGGTATATGATGTATTAATGTTTATTTTTAAACAAGCAATGTTTTCTATCCAAAACCATATAAATTTTAAAGTTCCTATATTATATTGTATAATCTGAGACTAAACACTATTTAAATGTACCATTAAGTACAAAATATTTTTCTTTCGGTGAACATGTATCGAATACAAATTAATCAGTAAATAGAAAATGAGACCTTATTTTCGACGGAATAATGCACTTTGGTCTAGTGGTTGTGAACACGACTACTGATTATGTGGTCCCGGAGTTTAATTTCTGGTGAAGACACATTCAGTTATTGAGTTTTTCTGGGTGAAAATTTTCAGTAGCAGCCCGGAGTAAGGAATTGGCGGTGTTTCACCCCTGAAGCTGTTGGCCGTGCGCCTTATCTACTATCTCAGGTCGTATAAGATTGCCGTCTCTTCTGATTATGAAAGTGAGGAAATAGAGAGTGTACGATTGCTTGCGCACACTATCGTGCAATATAATAATGTACTGCGCGGATAATATATACGAATAGTCTTCATTGAGACCGGCCATCACAGCCGAAATTGGGAGGGCATTATATTCTAACATATTATGTGATATGTTAATGACCATGAAGAGGCAGTGTAAGAATATTCACTACCCCATTAGGGTTGTTAGCGGCGACAGAGGGAAACAAATCAGGAGATGGGCAGTAGCGTCTTCCTAATAACGACTAAAAATAAAAAAAACGTGACAGGTATGGTAAATACCCCCCCCCCCATCTGAAGCAGTTTATGGGGAGGCCAATGTTCAACAGTGGATTTTGATAGGCTGTAACGGTAACGTTAGTTATTCATTTACAAATATTTTTAATATTATTATAGACAAATAAATGACTGTAGATTTAATTTTATTTTTCAATAACTGGCAAAGAAAGACAACTAGTAATAAAGAATTACACATTATTTGTATAAAAAATACAGAATGAATTTTAGAGATTAATGGCCAACTACTCAATTTTGAGATGTCATTGAGTCTCATGGTGTCACAGTCACTATGACTTAAAGTGATAGAGACAGCACGAGACTTAACGGCGTCTTAAAATTGATTAGCATTTGAGTATTTGGCCTTAAGAATAAAGAGGTGAAAAATGAGTACACGAACAACCGCTCGAAACCCATAGACAGGTACATCTATCCTCGTTTTAAAATCATAATGCAGATGATTTTAAAACGACAATGTTGTCATCCCTAAGGATTGAGTACCTCGCTACCAGCAATACAATACCATACAAAGCGTACAGTAGCATTATGATGCTATTTTACGCTCTTATTCTGTTCTAACTTAATTTAACTTCAGTTAAGTTGATTCATTTGTGCATTGAACAACAGAAAAAAAAATTGTATAGTCACAAGCTCATTTGTAAAGGCAACAAAAACTGCATAGTATCATTTGATTTATTGACATATGCGATTTATGCGACAGCAAAGCAGATTTCTTACGATTATAAGAATACCAGACACTGAATAAAACAAATTTTGTGGATTTCATCGCGTTTAATTTTAATGATTTTACTTACACAAACGAGCACGAGGGGTGGGGGGGATTAACCGTACCATCCAGCCCCGGTTACCTTTCAGCTTTTGAATATTGGTGGTGCTTGGGCTTGGATTTAATTTAATAAATTGAAGGATCCCAAGAAGGTAGGGCTCTAGGTATGGCTCTATTAAAATTTTTATGTTTTTTTGGTTTTAAAAGCTTTGCGAATAATTTTTGTTAGGAATCGGTGTTGTTTTGTGAAGGTTTGTGGTTTAGAAATCTGATGTAATGGCGAGGACGATCTTGAACCTGTTACAGACAGTTGACTTGTTGGAGCGTCGGTGCTTCACATCAGCTATATGTTCGATATGAAAATCGATAATAGCACGCATAATATAAAAGATAGTTTTAATATGTATACTATCTCTCTTAAATATATCAAAACTAGCAAGCAGACTTAGTTCTGCAGCATATGCTGTAAAAAAGTTTAGAAGTCTAACCAGTGTTGAAACAGCTAGACTAGTTTACTTCAGCTACTTCCATAGCATAATGTCGTATGGTATTTTGCTATGGGGACACGCAGCTGACACTGAAATTATATTTGTTTTGCAGAAGAGGGCCATAAGAGCAATTTATGATTTAAAGCCTAAAGAGTCGCTGCGACAAAAATTTAAGGAAATTAATATATTAACTTTGGCCTCTCAATACATTTATGAAAAT